GGATAAAGAGATCAAAGACATTTATTATTGCACCACCACTTTTGTTTTGTAGGTGGGGTCGTTAATTTCAATTGTAATCACTTTTGTTTTTGAAAATTTTAAAATTAAAACTACACTTATTAAGGCATACGAACAATTATTTAAAACTCTACAAAAATGAATCGAAGGCCATATAGAGGGACGATTCCTTTATTTTTCGTAAATCTTAACAAGGCACCCAAATTTGAAAACCGAGATAATGAAAGGACCTATTTTGTATTATCAAAGAAGTAAAAGGATTCACGATTAGAAAACTTAACTTCCTAAATTTTGAAATTCCCCTCTCCCCCCAATTCAAATCTGAGCTTCAAATCAAAACTTCTGGGTAAGCATTAATTTCATCCTCAAGCTTCTCCATCTTCCAGTATGAGCAAACTGATTGATTGAAACTGGATCCTCGTCTTATTCATTCGAAATCCAAGGTTTATGCATGCTGAAAGACACCACAAGCTAGTCTTTCGATCTATTATCATGTCGCGAAACGTTCCGAGAATCGAGATGCCGGAATCTGAAGAGAACGAGTTCGCGAGCTTGTCTCTGTTTTCGCCGTCAAGGGCTCCTTTAAATTCGATACCGGATCCAAGTCAAATTCAGAAGGCGAATCATCTATCGGATTCCGATTTGGTTCAGAAATTGGAAAGTATTACAAGAACGCAGCACAATCGAATACCGGGTACGGAGAAGAGATTCGAAGTTTTGGAAGGCAGAGCTGGGAATTCGAGTGGGATGCATGATTCGAACCCTAAGATTGTTAGTCGAAATGGAAAATCTCGGTCGGAGCCAAACTCTGCGCAGAATACGCCGACTAGGAACGGTGCTAGGGTTTCTCTTGGTGGAGGTTGTGCTACGGGCGCTAGAGTTGCTCAGTATTTTGGAGGAAGAGGAACGAGCTTACTCTCGAGGATTCCGAGGGGGATTTCGATGGCTGATTCGGTTAGCTCTGCGGAAACAACTCCACATTTTGAGCTCAATGAAGACCATTCGTTTTGGAAAGAGCACAATGTGCAGGTTTGTGCATTGTTTAGGAGATTCTTGATGAATTTGATATGTTTGAAACTTACTAATTTAGGCATTCTTCTATTTGGTGTAGGTTTTGATAAGGCTGAGACCACTAAGTACAATGGAGAGGGCAACTCAAGGATATGGTAAGTGTTTAAAACAGGAGAGTCCACAAACATTGGTCTGGTTAGGCCATCCAGAGACCAGGTTCACGTTTGATCACGTTGCAAGTGAGACAATTTCCCAGGTAAACCTCATTTCAAATTCAGATTGCTGCTCGTATCGTATTATGTGATGTAGTTACCTGAATACAATACACTGGTGCTCTATAATGTTTTCTGGTTGTGTATCCTCTTGATTTTTCAGGAAAAACTATTTCGCGTTGCTGGTCTGCCCATGGTGGAGAATTGCTTGTCTGGTTACAATAGCTGTGTGTTCGCCTACGGTCAGGTGAGATCATAAATGATGTCATGTTTCTGCTTGTTAAAATTCCTAGTTGCAAAATTTAGAAGCTTAGCATTCTCTCTTATAGACTGGTAGTGGTAAGACCTATACTATGATGGGAGAGATATCTGAGGCAGAGGGAAGCCTCGGTGAAGACTGCGGAGTTACTGCTCGTATTTTTGAGTATCTATTCTCAAGAATTAAAATGGTAATCACCTAACTTCCTCCCAACGAATCACTGCAAGCCAATATATCTTAGTACTTATAAGGTATTTTCTAACAGGAGGAAGAGGGAAGGAGAGATGAAAAACTGAAATTCAGTTGCAAATGTTCTTTTCTTGAGATATATAATGAACAGATTACCGACCTCTTGGAGCCATCGTCAACCAATTTGCAAGTAATTCATTTTTTTTCCATCACTTGATTAGCATTCATCCATTCTGTTACTCTTTGCTTTGAGATAGGTCATAACCTTGAATTCCATATTTTAGCTCAGAGAAGATTTGGGAAAAGGGGTGTATGTTGAAAACCTTGTAGAACATAATGTGAGAAATGTTAATGACGTTCTAAAGCTTCTACTACAGGCAAGACTTCCATACCCATACATTATCTTAAGAGTTTTAAGTGTTCAAGTATTTAACTTGAAATGTTTTCCTTATGGTCAGGGAGCAGCAAACCGGAAGATTGCAGCAACCCGTATGAACAGCGAAAGCAGCAGATCCCACAGCGTTTTCACGTGTACAATCGAGAGCCTATGGGAGAGAGATTCTCTAACCCGTTCAAGATTTGCCAGACTAAATTTGGTTGATTTGGCTGGTTCTGAGAGGTAGCCAGTACATTTGTCTGTGGTTACTTTTGCATCTTTGACTGCTGAAATTATTTTTGTTACATATGCAGACAGAAAAGCTCAGGTGCGGAAGGGGATCGTCTAAAAGAAGCAGCAAACATTAACAAATCCTTATCCACTCTGGGGTAATACTATCAGACACCTTATTACGTGTCAGTTTGTCTACGCTCTTCTTTTTTGTTGTTGTCGTGAACTGTTTTCTATTGTACATTGCCAAGCCTCTCAAGTCTCATGTCAAAATAATGTATGGTTAATGGAGAAAATATTGAAGTAACTGAAATTATGTAATGCATGAAAGAATTGCACGACTTTAATAGCTTTGAGGTGTTTGACAACTTACAAATGATTATTGCCTACAATGTCTTACACCTTTTACTGTGTTCTATCTTCTTTAATCTTGTTACAAAATCTTAGTAGATACTAACACTATCCCATTTATCTGTAATTTTAGCTTAGTGATAATGTCTCTGGTGGATTTGGCACATGGGAAACATAGACATGTTCCCTATAGAGATTCGCGACTTACCTTTTTACTGCAGGTACCTATTAGAGCACTTCAACTTTCATTTTTCTTGCAACTGCATTATGACTAACTTCGGATATGGTTTCAGGATTCTCTAGGTGGTAATTCTAAGACAATGATAATAGCCAATGTCAGCCCATCTCTTTGGTTTGTACCAATAGCCATTCTTGTTTAATGGGTTTACCTAA